TAGACCCTCCAGAAAAACGCGGGCAAAAATCCTTGATTATGCGGGCTAAAATCCTTGATTATGCGATTAAACATGAGGGGTTTTATGTGGTTTTATGTGATTTTATGCGGTGAAATTGCGGGAAGTTGCGAAATATGCGGAAAGTTGCGAAATATGCTGAATATGCGGGGGAAAAGATTATCGATTTTTTTTTAAATATTGGGCTGTCTTATTTACCTCTCACACACAACCTGCCACTAACGTTAAACCCCTTTACTATTCAATTAAACACATTCAATGTTTATTTATTGTAAAAGCAATTGGGCTATTTTAATCTCACGCACACACACACACACACACACACACACTTCTCCGNCGCGATCAGCCATGAGGGCACGGGCTCCTCCTCACTGCTGAGGGAAACTTTGGCCAGACTGCTGCTGAGGCCTCCACCTCTGCTGGAGAAGGGCCTTCCCAAGTTTCCCTCAGCAGTGAGGAGGAGCCCGTGCCCTCATGGCTGATCGCGATGTTTTCGTAAAGCTGCCGGAGTTTTGGGAGCATGCCGCTGCGGCGTGGTTCGCACACGTTGAGGCGCACTTCGCCTGCCGACAAGTCCGTGACGGAGATTTGAAATACTACCATGTAGTAGCAGCGCTGGGAAGCTCCACGTCATCCAGGTTGGTGGGATTTATCGCTAAATGCATCAATTCTACGTACATGGTATGGAAGCAATATATTCCATGATATCCTAATTATTTTGTAAGCTGCTCCTGTTTTCTGATTTCTATAATATGCCTTAGGTCTAGCAAATAGAATGCATCTCTTGATGGTCACATATACTTCTCTTCTCTCTCCAGATGCACTTTTGAAATATTTTGGGCCTCATACCACCTCAGCAGAGCCCAGCCCTGCAGCATCAAGCGCTCCTGTCCCTTCCACCTCAGCAGAGCCCAGTGGTACAGCATCAAGCGCTCCTGTCCCTTCCACCTCAGCAGAGCCCAGCCCTGCAGCTTCAAGTGCTCCTGTCCTTTCCACCTCAGCAGAGCCCAGTGATACAGCATCAAGCGCTCCTGTCCCCTCCACCTCAGCAGAGCCNGTCACATATACTTCTCTTCTCTCTCCAGATGCACTTTTGAAATGTGTTGGGCCTCATACCACCTCAGCAGAGCCCAGCCCTGCAGCACCAAGCGCTCCTGTCCCTTCCACCTCAGCAGAGCCCAGTGATGCAGCATCAAGCGCTCCTGTGCCCTCCACCTCAGAAGAGCCAAGTTATACAGCATCAAGCGCTCCTGTCCCCTCCACCTCAGCAGAGCCCAGTTATACAGCATCAAGCGCTCCTGTCCCCTCCACCTCAGCAGAGCCCAGTGATACAGCATCAAGCGCTCCTGTCCCCTCCACCTCAGCAGAGCCAAGTTATACAGCATCAAGCGCTCCTGTCCCCTCCACCTCAGCAGAGCCCAGTTATACAGCATCAGGGATAAAGGCTTCACCAATAGACCCTGCCGACTGGCCATCTGTTCTTACTGATAATGACAGGACAGAGTTTGTTCAGAGTGGACCATATCAAATGAAACCTAGTTTTATCTTTCCCAAACAAAAAGACGGGAGAAGGTGTCAGCAGGACTATTTTAACAGAGTCTTAATCAACGGAGAAAAAATCAAAAGAAGTGATGTATTCAAAAAAGAATGATAGCTTGCACTGCTTCTGCTGCAAAATGTTTTCACAGAGAAATTACAAACTCAATAGGGAAGGACTAAAGGACTGGAAAAATGCAAGTCACTTGCTCAAGGTACATGAAGAAAGCAAGGAGCACAACACAAACATGGCAACATGGAAGGAGTTAGACGTCCGTCTTGCCAGGGGCCTTACAATAGATATGCAAGAGATGGCCCTTGCTCAGGCTGAGAGAAATAGGTGGCGCGACATTCTCACCCGACTCATGGCAATAATTCAACCAACCAGACAGTGGCAACACTTTAAAAGAAGTGGAGCTTATGGCCACATTCGATCCAGTCATGAAGCAGCATGTTGGTAGGGTGGAAAGTGGAGCTGGCAGTCACACATTATATGGGCAAAATAATTCAAAATGAACTGATTGACTCAATCAGCTCTAAAATACTGGACACAATTGTGGAAGAGATAAAAACGTATTTCTAAAGTATTTCTCCATCATTTTGAATTGCACTCCTGATCTGAGTCATAAAGAACAACTCTCTGTTATTGTGAGGATACTATCACTAGAAGACAAACCACAGGTTAAAGGACATTTCCTGGGCTTTCTTGTGGCAGAGGGGAAAGTTTGACATTGCTCATTCTCAAAAGGCTGGAGGAACTTAACATCCCCTTTGAGGACTACAGAGGACAGTCATATGACAACGGTGCCAACATGAACGGTAAGAATAAAGGTGTTCAGGCTAGGTTGCTTCAGCAGAACTCAAGAGCTTTTTTTGTCCCTTGTGGTGCTCACACCTTAAATCTGGTGGTAGCTGATGCTGCAAAGAGCTCACCAGATGCTATAGGCTACTTTGGGTATTTAACAAAGTTGTACAAACTCTTCTCGGCCTCCACGCATAGATGGGACATCCTGCTGAAACATGTCAAAACAACCCTGAAATTGTGGTCAGAGACCAGATGGGAAAGCAGGATAAAAAGCATTGAGGAAGTAAAGTACCAGGCTGGGCAAATCAGAGAGGCTCTTCTGGAGGTGAGGGAAACAACTGCAGACCCTGTGGTCAGAGTTGAAGCCCAGTCTTTGGCTGAGGAGATTGGATCTTACCGTTTTGCCATTTGCACAACCATATAGTATGACATCTTCTACAAGATCCAGCATGTGAGCAAACTGATGCAGTCAACCTCCATGCAGTTGGATGTGGCTGTCGACCAGCTGAAGAAAACAGGAGATTCCCTCACCTGCTACAGAAGGACTGGATTTTCTGATGCACAGACAACTTCAAAGGAGATGTGTGAGGAGATGAACGTGGAGGCTGTTCTCAAACAAAAGCGGTTGAGATCCACAAAACGGAAGTTTGGTTATGAGTCTCCAGATGAGCATATTGATGATGCACAAAATGGAAATCACATTTTTTAATGTGGTTGTGGATACAGCCCTCTAAAATCTTGCCTAGGGCAGAAAATTGGTCAGGGCCGGCCCTGGCGTCGTAGGAGCGCTTAGCGAGAGCGCGTTTGTTTTGGATTAGGTAAGCCGGGTAACTCAAACATATCCAGGATTCGTAGTGCAGGCCAGAAACATACTGTGTGAACCAAGGACCAAAGGTTACCCAATTAGCTGTTTATGTGTTTTTGTGAAGGAAGCGCCATCTCATGGTAAAATCTAAGAAATGGGCGGGTCTACAGTGGAATCTAGCAACGCCATCTAAGGATTATTAAAAATAATTTCTATGACTATTAACATATTCTGTAGGTGTGTGACAACTTACTTACAGCTCCTGTCTACATCTTAAACCCACTCACACACTCAGTAATGTTATGTTTTACAATACAGTGCATAAGCAATAAAGGTACGATATACCTCAACTTTCATACTTTATATCAGTATAGTGTTATCAACCTGACCCTAATTTAAGACATAGTGTTCATCAGGATTAAGATGAAGTCTACTGAAACAACGTAGATCATCTGATTGAGTTTGCCATGTCTGTGTGGCAGCATCAGCAACGAAAAAACAACAAACATGATGTTGAGCTATGATATCAAACCTTTGGTATTGTGTTATTCATTCACACAAATATCAGTCCATCACTTAAACTCCAGCATATCCAGCACATTGTTTGTTTTTAATACTAGTTTTTGTCGTTAGGGTGGCAGAAAATAGATACTTTAACCGTTTAGCCAGTGGCGGCTGGTGAATCTTTTTCCAGGGGGGGGCAAACACGTGAATTCCCACGTGAATCCTACGCAAAGCTTTATAAATGAGGCCCCAGGTCCGAGCACTTTTACTTTCAGCTTTCCCTCCAGTTTCCTCCTCTCAAACAGTGTTTCTTTAAAGGCAGTTTTCCATTCATCCCCTTCCCTTATTATCACCAGATGATATGCATTTCTAAGATCTAACTTCTTAGCAAAAGATCTTAGCACCTTGTAACTGGTCGAAAGCTGATGACATAAGATGATGGTAATGTTGTTCAAACCATGGTAGTCGATGCAGGGGTGAAGTGACTTGTCCTTCTTTGCCACAAAGAAAAATCCAGCTCCAGCGGGAGAGGAAGAGAGTCGAATTAATCCAGCGGCTAGTGAAGACTCCACATATTCCTTCATCGCCCATGTCTCTGGAGCAGATAGGGAATATAGACAACCCCTGGGTGGTGAAGAGCCTGGTAACAAGTCTATAGCACAATCGTACACACGATGAGCGTACACACGAGGTGGCTCTGGCCTTGTTAAAAACCTCCTTAAGGTCATGGTAACACTGAGGAACCTTGGAAATGTCAGGGAAATCAGAATCTTAAATGTCTTGAATTACAGGGACAGCTGGAGGGGCACCCAGGGAACATTTGGACGGAAAACTGGTATTTAAACATTCCTTACACCAAGCAATAATCTTGCCAGTGGACCAGTCTACGTGGGGGTTATGTAAGGTAAGCTAGGGGTGTCCCAAAATGATTGGGTGTTCGGGGGACCGAAAAACATGAAAGACGGGAAGCTCAGTGACCTTCCTGGAAACTTAGCTGAAGAGGTTGGGTGTGGTGAGTTACCCTACAGAGAAGACGGCCATCCAAGGCACTTGCTTCCATTGGTCTTGGAAGGGGGAAGGTCTCAAGGTTCAGCTTCTTAGCCAACTCAAAGTCTATAAAACTGGCATCTGAGCCAGAGTCTACCAAAACAGGATGCCTGAGAACCACAGAAGACGAAGAGAGAGTGACATTTGGGAGACAACGTGAGGGACTAACATTAAGTGTAGTGCGGCTCACCAGTGCCCTCTTCTTTACTGGCGAGCCAGATCTTTTAGTCAGCGACAGTAGGCGATTGAGTGTCCCCGTTCACCACAGTAGAAGCACCTCCCCTCCCACAGGCGGCGCTGTCGCTCTTCAGGAGTCAGCATGGGCTCCTCCGGAACAGCAGGCGACAGAGGCGAGGCGCTGTAAACGGAAGCCAGGTCCTGGGGTGATTCCATGAGGACGAAGAGCTGGGCGAAGACTGCCTCTTGTGGGAGAAACAGGGAATCGCAGTCCCTCTCTCTCTCTCTCTCCCTCTCTAACAGTCGCTTGTCAATCTTAATAGTCAATGAAATTAGGGAGTCCAAATCAGCTGGAAGCTCAAGAGGAGCTAACTGATCTTTTAATGTGCCGGACAATCCATAACGGAAAGCATCAAACAATACTTGTTGGTTCCAGTCACTGTCCCCTGCCAGGGTACGGAACTTGATAGCATAGTCAGAAACCCTCTGTTTACCCTGGCGCAACCCAACGAGTGCTCTGGCTGCCTCCCTCCCTTGTGTGGTTTGCTGGAAGATATTGGTGAAGGTCTCAGTGAAGAGATCGAGGGAGTCACAAACAGGAGACCTTTGCACCCACTCTGCCATCGCCCAAGCCTCAGCTCTGCCAGAAAGGTGGGAGATGATGTATGCCACCCTTGAGCGCTCAGATGGGTAGCATGCAGCCTGGAGCTCAAAGTGGAGGCCGCACTGAGCCAAGAAAGCCCGACAATCACCGGAATCCCCAGAAAACCCCTCTGGTCGGGAGAGGTGAGGAGACAGGTTCGGATTTGGAGACTGGACTGGAGTAGGATCCACTGGGGAAACAGACAGAGTCCATGCTGGCCAGCTCCTACTATCAGACACAATTACTGGCACAAGCAAAAAATAGGACTCAAGAGCACAACCAGGCAAAAAGGTTTAGTCAAGCGTTTAATCAAAAAGGCAAAATACTACAGGCAAAGGTCCAAAAAATAACAGACTGGAAGCAACAAAAAACAACCAACTAAGTTGGTGGAAAAAGACTATTGCAGCAACAACAAAACAACCAACTAACTTGGTAAAAACGCTTAACAGCTAGGACTGTAGCTTACTTTTAGGAGAGTCTCTTGGAGCACTTCATGCAAGACAGCTAAGACGAACTGGCACTGACCAAGGCAACAGCACAGACTAAACACAATGGAGAGGAGTAATGATTAGGGACAGCTGAGGCTCATTGAGACCAGGCAGGTGATTAACAGGGAAGGAAAACACATCAGGTGAGGGAGTGAGGCGANACATCAAAACCTCATCCCAACTGTGAAGTATGGTGGAGGGAGCATCATGGTTTGGGGCTGCTGCCTCAGGGCCAGGACAGATTGCCATCATCGACAGAAAAATGAATTCTCAAGTTTATCAAGACATTTTGCTGGAGAACTTAANCTGGCTGATCGCCTCACTCCCTCACCTGATGTGTTTTCCTTCCCTGTTAATCACCTGCCTGGTCTCAATGAGCCTCAGCTGTCCCTAATCATTACTCCTCTCCATTGTGTTTAGTCTGTGCTGTTGCCTGAGGAGTAATGATTAGGGACAGCTGAGGCTCATTGAGACCAGGCAGGTGATTAACAGGGAAGGAAAACACATCAGGTGAGGGAGTGAGGCGATCAGCCAGGACCAGGATGTGACAGTCGGCTCTTTTTTTCTAGCAGACCGTTGCTTAGGATAGCAGGCCGTTGCTAAGAAGGATGCTCTGCTCAAGGGACTATGTGCAGTCACATCAACCCACAGAAAGTACTCCGGTAAATGTAACGTCTGCTGTAGCCAAAAAAAAAACGTTTTCCTTCATCAGAAAACCACGTGAAACAAAACTCTGGATTCATGCTTAACTGTCTCCAGTAAAGAAAATACAAAACTGAACAATAAATAGCACAAGAAAGGAATGGACAGAAATATCAGCAGAACAAGACAGGACAGGAAGTAAACGCTAAATCAATTAATCATTTTAATCAATATTGTGAGTCAAGTCCTTGTTTTATTTAGCATGTAGCGATGTAATACGCAGGATAATTTGCAGGAAAAAGGTCATTAATAAAAAGATTACTTCAGGTTGATTCAAAATCTTGTGTCGGGATCCTGCTCACCCTGTCGGTGTTCTTATCCGTTATATAATTTTTCTTTAAACTAGCTGAGCTACCACACAATGGTTCCACATGTCCCCGCAAACTGCACAAGCATCTCAGATTAGGAAACAATAAACAACACACTTCTTATTCTCCAAATTATCATTTAACATCTGACATCAAACATTTGCGTCACAATGTCTAGTCAAATAGTTTTTTTTTTTATAATAATGTGGTGAAATAAACATTGTTGGTTTATGAATTGTCCAAAATAAAATTCCCAAACAATATTTAGGAGAAAACCGACTGGTAAAGTAAAGTTAATATTTATATAGAGTTATGTACACAGTGAAGGGCAATTGGAAGAGACAGGAGGTCGATGAGCAAAGTCAGTTATTTAGAGGCCCTTTGAAGCAGAGGGAGTGGCATCAAACACAATTCTGAAAGGCGATAATTATTTAAAAGCGCTTTTCAAGAGAGTGAGTTTTCCTCCATAGCTATCGACTGCTCTGTTTTGGTTGCTCTAAATAAGGAAAGGTTCATTATCTCGCCTCTGAAGTCCACTGGGACATATTGATGGAAGCTCTGTTGTGCTTGCAAGTGAGCAATGCTGTCTCCTCACTGGGCATAAATACAGTATTGATTAGCCATTCTACACAGCTTTCACTGTCATTTTTCTATGCTGCTCGCCAAGAAGAATTAGTGGACAGTAATCACTCTGCATTCTGCAGGCAGAAGCATCCACCATTAGAGATGAGCCGGTATGGAACCAAATAAATCATACTCACACCAGAACCACCTGTCACCATGAAGGATTCAGCAAGTAGAGCGCGGAAATATGGCCTTTGTTATTAGTTGCACGAAAAATCAGGTCAGACAGTCTCTGTTTACCCCCTTTGTTATTTGGATACAGAATGAGGTTTGCCACCAGTGCTAAGCCAGATCCCTCCAATATTTATACTGTGTGCTTTATATTTCATAAAAGGTTACTAGATAAATGAAACAATACAGGGATTGGCCATGCTTTTATATTCGAACAACAATACATTATGCATATCTCACTACCAGCCAGCCATGCTTTCATATTGGAAGATTATATATAGTAGATTTAACATACAAATACATTCATTTTAAGAAACAATGTTAAAGGGCCCATGTCATGGAGATTTCTACTGATCATAATTCCATTGTTGAGGCATACTAAAATAGATTTATACTGTGCAATTTTCCAAACTCACATTGGTTTCTCATACAGCATCTCAGTATGTGTATTCACCGGTATTCACTCTGTCCTAAACGGCTTGTTGGAACTCCTGCCCCCCCCCCCCCTGTGAGCCCAGTGGCCGTCTGCGAGACAGCGAGACACAGCCTGAACAC